CCCTTATACAGTCCTTTCAGGTGCCATAAATAGCACCATTTTTTACAGTAGGATTTAGCGATTGAATTCCCATGAAGGGGAGGGTCGGGTTGTCTGCCTTTTTCTTCTCCTCGGCTGATAAACGGATCAAGCCCATTGTTGTGGGAAGACTCCTCATTACGGTGTGGGTAGAATTCAATGCGCCTGCGTTTGCCATGGGAGAGGGAGCTTTGTGAGAGCACGGTCAGGCACCGAGTATCACTGCTTACTTCTCTATTCAGGTTTCTCTGTCACACACATCAATGGCCACGCGTGCTCACATACACATACAAAAAACATGGGCACACTCACTCTCACAGCAGCTGATAAATAAAAGATAGCTATGTTGCTGCGTCTTTGCTCGTAAAACTTCAGATCCAGCAGTGAATGACGTCAGAAGGGTTCCCATAGAGGAATAAGTATCCATGGGCCTGTGATTGGGTGGATTTGTCCACACATGGCAATTAATCGATCGTTTTTATTCAGTGGTCAAGGAAAAAGATTGGCCGGGATGAGTCTAGCCTGGTCCTGCTTCCACACTTGTTCTCTACTCCACCTCACCAGGAGTCTTTCTTATCTTACCGAGACCCTTAATTTAAACTTTTGCTATCTTACATGGGATTAGTATGACCTAAAAGAAAAACTACACTCTATCACAGTAAAGGGAAGTGTTTTTTCCTCATATGAGGATAGTGGATAAATGTACATTAAAGGATTTAAATAGTTTTTTTTTGCAATTTCTGATCAGGATGTCCAATTTGCTCTAAAAAGATTTCAGTTTTTGTCTTTCTGAAAAAAAATCTGTCCCCGTATCAAGACTCTGGGTGTATCTTCTTGAAGTACGTAATAAAGACATGATTGGTTAAAAATGTGTAAAACCATTCTATTTCAGATTTCAAACATTCCAAATTGCCCTTAGGAGTGAGTATGAGTGTGCGTGGTTCTTCGTCCTTGTGTGTCTCTGTGTGGCCCTGCGATAGACTGGGGAACCATCCAGGGTGTATCCCCCCTCTCGCCTATTGACTTCTAGGATAGACTACTGTGCCCCCGCAACCCCCTTTAGGAGATAAGCGGTTCATAAAATGGATGGATGGATGGAAACGTTGGTTACCGATCGTGCGTACCATAAGGCCAATGTGTAAAATAAAAATAAAAAAGTGTCATGGTGCCGAGAGCCAAGACTGCAACGTCCTTTTACGAGGACCCAGCAGTGGCTAACTTTCACCGCATTTTGTACAACCACCAGGGTAATTAAGCCAGTTCCAGCTAACTTTCACCACATTTTCTACAACCACCAGGGTAATCAAGCCACTTCCAGCCCTCGTTCCTTTCATTCTTGCCAATGTGTCACTTTCTTTGTATATAAGTTTCTCCTTTGTGTCCTGGACCTAAACTTCTGCAGCCTCGCCATAGCCACTTGTCCCTTCCTTAGTCAGGCTGAATGTTTCTAAATAAATAAAAAAAAAGCAATTATCATAATCCATGACAGGATCAAAACCTCCCCTCTTTTTCTCAGAAGTGTCAGTCTTTTGCATTCTCGCATTCAACCATTCCCCCGTAAAAACACCAATTAACTTACTTGTACTCGAAGCCCACTAATGGTCTCGTATCTCGCATTTAGGTCCCTTTGTGTTTGGGCTCTTACGAGTCCAGGCAGGGAAACTGAAAGATTACATATGACAATGGTCTATTATTGTCTGTATTAAACTGAACTCGCATTCTAACTCCACGATGATTGTGAGAAATAAGAAAATGATCATTGTCAATTAGCATCTAAATAAACATTTCTTGAAATGCTTTCCAGATGGGAAAATACAAAGACAATAAAAAGGGTGGCATAATTGTGGTGAACATTTTTTTCTGCTCTGAATCTGTTTCTGATTTCCATATGTTACATTTGAGGATGCTGTAGGCCGTGAATAGAACGAAAGCGTCACACCCTTGTCCTTTGGTGCATGCTGATACCACACAAAGTCACACACAGACAGCATTCTATGTATGTTTGCTATGTTATCTTTGCTATTTTTTATGTATGTTCATTGATGTTGTGATTTGGCATTGAGGAGTCGGTCTTATCTACGGAGCCGAAGGGCAAATCTTATGATAGGCTGGTTTTCATATTGATTATAGTTGCTAAACAAACTTCCGCTAAAAAATTATCTCAATGTACATCTAAACTCAATATTTTTTTTGTTTAACTCCTTGCACATTTTGACCTTTAGATAACTGTGGTAAAGTCATTCTCTACGGCAGGCCTACGACTGCAGAGGAATAATGGCCTTCAGTACTGTCCACCCTAGACAAAATGGAAACAAAAACTGACAAACAGCATCCACTTATGGGGTAAACCTGGAATATTTAAGATATTGTCACATTTGGCATGAGCATTTTCAGTATGGACCTCAAATTCTGTGTAATGGGACACCATTTCCCACCATTTTCATTAGTGACTGCTTTCTTTGTTTTTCACAACTGAATTCTAAACATAGCATTTGCATACTTGCATACTTCCTTTATGGCAAGCCTTTGTTTTTTTAATTTTGAAGGATGCATACTTTTATTTGCCACAATTCTAATGATATTACACTGTAGTGACATCCAGAAGGGCTGACGACTAATTTGTCAGCCCTCTCAGAGACACGCGTAGACTCAAAGAGGTCAGCGATATCACAGAGATATCTCCAACACACTTAAGCACAGAGCAATGAGGAAGCACAGCCAAAAAGCATGAATAAAGCATTTGTAGATTGCCATTCCACGAGGGCCCACTGGAGAGCCGCAGTCCTCCCAGGAATACATTTTGGGGGCAAGTCTCTGGAAAGTTGCTAGGTAGATGTGTCCCCATCTCTCCATAAGACTCAGTGAGCCCTCATTTGCGCAGGAGAGCGCACAATCTAACACACCACGTCGAGATCTCCCATAGGTGATCATTAGTCTGAGTGCTGCAGTCTGTGGAGGCCAAGATATACAACTCACGTCAATTAATAAGGGGGAAATTGTAGGGATTTGTCACATCACTTCACTCATTTATTGAGATTATTTGAGTCAATTTGTCACTTTTCCCTTCTGCGCCACATTGTGACCACATTTTCAACCCCTCTAAGGTAAACGAATGGGTTCCTGGTGGCGGTAAAAAAATTAAAAAAAAAGGGAAAAAAGGAAGAAAAGACAGAGACAACAAAGAGGCAGCCATGCAGGCAGCGATTCAAGCCCCACACCCTGGAGCCACAAGTTCACCTCCTGCAGGCCACTGCCTCCCGGAGGAGCTTTGTGGCTCTGGGCTGTTGGAAAAAAAAAGGAAAAAAAAGTGCTTATGGGCAGAAAAATAAAAGTGCTGAGATTCCGCACCGCTGCGACTTCAAACAGCCATGAGCTCCATTATTCGGGCAGCCCCGGCCCTTAATGAGGCTGGGCAGACACGGGGCAAGCTGTGCTCATGATGTTCTGCCGCGCGTCGCGAGCGGAGGCTGATATCAGAGCAGCTGCCGATGCTGTTGACTGTAAACAAACAAGCGAGCGGTGATGACGGGCGGCCGGTCCGAGGCCCCGCTGAGCGACGGACGAGTGTTCCAGTGCGCCGGTCACACTCGCGCGAACATGGAGGTGTAACAGCTGGAGATGTGGAGCATTGGGTTTTATGGGGGGTTGTGGACGGGATTGACCCGGGTGGCTCTGACAAGAACCTGTCACTGCCTTACACTTCATTCCTTGTCAGCTGCACTCTGCCGCTTGCAGCTAGTCGCATACTGATAAGCGCGTGTGTGTGTGTGTGTGAGACTGAGTGCCTGGGTCCTATCTACTCTACTCCACTCCCTCCAACGCAACCGAGGCCTGCTCCTCTCCTTTCCCGAGGAGCAGAGATACGCGCCTGCGAGCGGGAGCTTTCTCCCCCCGGAGCGCGTTGCCGAGGTGCCGAGAGGCTTGTCATAGTCTGCCCCGAGGAAGTGATGGCGGCGTGATGGAGAGCGGGGAGAGGAACACGAGCCACGGCTGAAGATGGATAGGCGACCGGCTGAAGACGAGAACGAGCGGGAGGGATTTCAAGTCAAGGCGAAAGTCCTGGGGAGACTCTCTCTCTCTCTCTCTCTCTCTCTCTCTCTCTCTCTCTCTCTCTCGCCGGTGTTGGAGCCCGAGCCTGGCGTGGGAGGGGATGTCAAGGGCGCTCAGCGTCAAATCTCTAAAAGGGTACCCTGCCAAGCTCTGTAATAAAAGGGTTACGGCTTCAATATGCACCAGGAACATACAGCGCGGGAAGGTGGGCTCCAGTCCAAATCAATTCATTTGGACAGATGTCTTTGTTGCAATGAAACTGTTGTGCTTAGATTCATAGCTTTTTCCATTTACAGGTAGTTGGATGCCTGCGCATGATTCAAGGACGCCCGGACGATAAAGATATGGAGATGTTGGGCGACTCGGCGTGGCCGTTGGCGCGTCCCGCCACCAGAGAGCAGTGCTGTGAACAGGCAGAGGGGGCTCGGATTCCATTCCCGAGCGCATTCCCGCTTTGACAGCAAGCGCCTCGACGTCCAGATGTTTGTGTCTTTGCCTGAACGGATTCACAGTTTGCGGCGGTCGCCCACCCCCCCCCACCTGCAGCACCGAATCACTGACAATCTCTACTGCACCGGAGAGGTGAGGGGCTCTTTGAATGCATAATTGAAGGGTTAATTAACAACTGGAGTTAGTATAACTAATGATAAGAATGATTGCTCTACTAATGAAGGCGGTCATTTGCATACTAAAAGAGAGTTCTGCTTTTTCTCTCTCAGTCTCTCTTGTCTTTATCGGTTTCGGTGTGTTTCTCTCCTTCCCTTTTTCTTTCCGGAGGATAGCACAACTCCCACCGTGTTCT